TGTATACCTTTCTAGTTATTCATTTAACAGCTTTGTCTGGTTGGTTTCTTTGAAAAGTGAGTTTGAACACTGAGATTAATGTTATAAAACATAACCTTTAAAAGCAGCACAAAACAAACCAAAAAAGGGAGATTAAACTTATTAAAATGGCTTCAATTCTTCACCATAACATTTTAAAAGTTTAATCAACTAATGGTAGGCGCCAAGGTAAAAGAAACTGCACAGAGGGAAAAACCACACGGGTGTAATTTCTGCCCTTTAAAAATATTAGATTGAGGACATCAGGAATGGTGGCATGAGAGAGCACCTTATCTTCTCTCCCTGAAATTTCAACAAGTTAACCAACTATAACTTAACAAAGAAATTGTTGCTCAACACAGTTACACACTTGAGAGACCCTTGCATTGAAAGATTTAAAGGTGGATAACCAGGGATAAATGGGGAGACAAAAGGGAGGAAAGTGCAAACAGCCCACAGATTCAGCCCTGTAGCTGAGAGCTCATGACTTGGCTGGGAGAGGGGAGAAAAGCAGCAGTAGCAGGCACTTCCTTCAGCTAGAAGTAACAGAGATATTACAGGGGGCAACACATCAGGACAAGTGCAGCAGGGTCATGCTGCCAACCACTGTCAGGCTTGCAGTGGTGTTTCAGACAAAGAAATGGAACCACAGAGCTCTGCCACTGCTTGGACTCCAAAAACTCACCTCCCATTGCCCTTGTAATCAGGTCCAGGAGTATATTAACTATAAACCAAGAGATGTTTCCCTCTGTGATTGATCCCCAGGAGGGGTCCTTGGAGTGGGGCCCCACAGAGGCCTTGGTGATCAAGTATGGGAGATCACAGAGGTAAACAATCTTGCAATTCTGACCTATCTACTAGCAAATGGTAGAAAGACCTATTCAGAGAGAGCTACATGCCTAGCCAAAGGAGAATAGCATCCTATCTAATAAAAGAAAAACATGGTAATTAGCCATATGTCCGCTACCCTTCCCATTGGCTAATCAGGGCGATATGCAAACTAACTGCCAGCCAAGATGGCAGCCGGCAGCCAGGCAGCTTGAAGCTAACAAGAGTCTTGCTTGCTTCAGTGATGGAGGACTCCAACGTTCCCTGCCTGCCTTGCCGGCCTTTCAGCTTGCAGTTCGTTTTTTTTTTTTTTTATTTTTTTTATAGATTTTTTACAGAGAGGAAGGGAGAGAGATAGAGAGTTAGAAACATCGATGTGAGAGAAACATCCATCAGCTGCCTCCTGCACACCCCCCACTGGGGATGGGCCCGCAACCAAGGTACATGCCCTTGACCGGAATCGAACCTGGGACCCTTCAGTCTGCAGGCCGACGCTCTATCCACTGAGCCAAATCAACTTGGGCCAG